GGGGGGTAGTTTTGCCATGATGTGTAGCACAGAAATAGAAAAAGGGCTAATATTTGTCGTTGCCTTTTGTTCGTAATGCTATTTTGGGAAGAGGTAGAGCAGGGGGAAGGGGATACCTCTGCGGTGTCCTCCGTTGATCCGCCATTGCAAGGTGAACAACTGCTGCCTAATTTAGGTCGTTGTTAAGGAAGTATGTCTTTAAAAATTAAACTAGACTTGTGAGAGTAGAGTGGGGTGACAATAGTATTGCAAAATTTTGCTTAAAGGTGAACAACAGCTGGTTTTGTCAGGTTTTTCAATTGGTATTTTATTGAAAAGTGGTTATGCCAAGTTGGTATCATAAGTACAGATTTACAGAACAGTGCTTTAATTGGTCCAACGAAACGCATGTTATTATGTTAGTATTAATTTTTTATAGGATAGCTAATATGGCCACCACCCTTCCCGGCATAGATTGTTTAAGGTTCAGTTATATTTTGGGGTCTATGTTGGCTCAGGCTCTAAAGATACTTTGGATCAGAGCATTACTGGCAAAGGGACTATCCTTTGCCAATTGATTTACAATCTCATTTAACAGGTTTTCAATGGGGTTTGCGTCTGGTAATTGGGCAGGTGATTATGCACTGAGTATATGCTTCACTTGTGAATACAAAAAGGACTTACTTCAAAAAATCTGTCATGCTCATTGTCATATGTGACTTGTGCCTGTGGTCGTTTGATTTTTTGAACATCACTGTGAACTCTCTGTTACCAAATTTCTCTCGTAAATAATCTTCATTCTTCCATTTCTCCAAGGCCGGCCAGTGTTTCAGCGACCCTCGGACCACGAGGGGGACTGACTGCCGCATGTGGTCTCTGTAAAAATCCTCTGGACTCGGGAAATGGTCCATCACGATCAGCTCCTTTTCCTTGTCCACGTGAAGTCCAAACTTCTGCATGTGACCCTTCGGTGGCGTCTGGGTCGCATCTCCGGCGTCTCCATCGCTCCAGATACTGTGGATGCCAGGGAGAACCTGAGTCAGATCGGGCCTGAAGTACCCCAAAACCAGGGCCAGAAGGACGGGGAGGGTCCCCGCGTACAACTTCGTCCTAGTCTCCATACTGCATGTAAACATCATCGAGGAATGAGAACACACCCGCCCACCTTATGCTTGATATTCCTTGAGTGACACTTGAATAGACGTTCCACACCGCTGTTTCTGAAAAGAAAACCTGCCAATCTAATTTCACGGGTGATGACTGTATGTAGCAAATACACCTGAGTGTGTATTGCTGTTGTTCTCGGACTAAAGGGTAAAAAAGGTACTGGAGCCCACTTACTGTGCAAAATGCTTCAATGAAATACTTCCACCGTATTTTATCTGCACTTCCATATTATTCCGACAAAACTGCTTAACCCAAACTTGTGCTTAGATTTTGTACTACTTTCATCACGTTTTGTAATCAAGGTAAGACTGAGCACTTGCCATGGTAATCTGTGCTGCACACTAAGCACCGTGCGGTTTAAATGGCGTTAACTGAAGATTGAAAATTATCTGCGCATCCTAGCCAGCCTTAAAGGTCAACATACATGCGCAATAAAAATATTCATACTTCCATTGTGTAGAAAACTGTGGATTTGTTTTTAAAATTCTTTAAATATTTTTTATCCAATTCAGTCCATCGTTAAAATGCAAAAACAAGTGCTAAACAAAATAAATAATAAAAAATAATCGGTTTCTTTATTCACAGCAAGTGGCATTTTACTGATATTGATTAGCATTATTCACCAAGAACACAGTAAACTAGGACGCAATATTGCGTCCTTGTGAAAAATATACCGCATGTTTCCTCTATGCACAGACCTGAGAGAGAGAGAGAGAGAGAGAGAGAGAGAGAGAGAGAGAGAGAGAGAGAGAGTTCATATGAAAATACTACAGAAACGGGCTTCATAAACTTCACTCATTTTTTTTTCAAAATTACTACAGCGTTCCTTTTTTTCTCATATACTTGACACCCAGAAATGTCATCTCCATACACATATGTAACAATGACTACTTAATCTACGTGAGGAAAGTATTCAGTAAGCATATCAATAGCCCAGGGTGAATCTGCTATATCTAACATAAACGCGTGTCTGTTAAATGCAATGTGATCCACATTGGTCGACGGTGGCGCAACTATAACATCTTGTTCTAAGGCCCATCGTATCAGTATTGTTCCTGGTGTTGTGCGGTATTTTTTGGCTGCAAGGTCCACCTTAGGGTGGGACAGTAGAGGGCTTTCGCGTGTGCCGTTCTCAGTCTCCAAAACTCCCATCAATCCATGCGCCATAAACGCGATGCCGTTGTCTTTGCAGAACTGACGCAGTTTAGTTTTCCTATTGTACAAGTTGAAATTACTTTGTACAACGGACAGGGGAAATTTAGCAAAATCAATCAGTTTTCGAAGCTGAGACATCTTAAAGTTGCTCACGCCTAGGGACCGAATTTTACCGCCTTCGATCAGTTCCTCCAAAGCTTCCCAAGATTCTTTCCAAGTGCCACGGTTATCGTCTGCTTCGCACTTGAATTTCATACCATTACAAGAGGGCGCTTTAATAAGTACCAAATCAATGTAGTCGGTTTTTAATCTAGCTAGAGATCTTTGAACAGAAGCGATAGTTTTTTCCCTTCCTAAATTTCTAGGATGGACCTTCACGACGATAAAAACATCCTCTCGCTTGACATCTGGAGTGGAAGCTAAAATAGTCCCTAGAATCTCCTCGGATTCATCATCTGGGTCCGTGTCAAAGAGACTGGAATGAAAATTCAATTCTAATAAAATTCTAATAAAACTTTGATACACCTATATGTCTTAATTAGGCTTAAGAAGCTCTGGTAATCATCATATACACTTCCAAGTAATAAGTGATAATCATTTTGTCAATATAAGAAATGATAAAAAGACGCATTAAAATAAATATTAAATTTTCTCCTATTTAATTCACCTGTAGCGCAGTCGCAGCGCATGAGCAGTAGAGATTTTCGCCTTCTCGGTGGGTTGGCCGCTCACTCCAAATCCTAAGCCAGGCACTGATAAAAAATAGTATATATGTTAAGTAGATGTTAACTTTCACATATAATCAAAAGAAAATCGTGAAATCAGGCGGAGTTTGCGCGGGTTCAAGTGTTGAGTTTTAACGTAGTGGTTCATATTTGGGTCGGTATGATTTGATTCCTGCATATCTAGGCTTGCAGATAGGCGGTATTTCACAACTGGGTTATAAGAAGACCCACATGAGACAAACACTGCACCCAAGGCCAAACAAACACAAAAATCTATTTATTTGCATTTATTTATGTGCTGAGTGAGAGAGATAGAGAGAGGGAGAGAGGCCATAATATAATAGTGCGTGTGTGAGTGTGTTTTGCAGTGTTGCGAGGGTGCAGAGTCTAGGCACGTGCTTAAAAGTAATATAAGGTCATCTTTGAAATGTTTATTGAACTCACTGTCAAACCCGCTGCTCAGTGTGCTTATATGTGACCTCAACTGCGCCATTGGTGATTCGAATTCTAACGCCACATCAATCGCTTCTGGGTTGATATAACTGTACTGGGCGATAAATTCGTGCATTGGCATATCTTCCATTCGTTCCTTACAGTTAATTTCTGAAACAGAGTTAAAATGTGAAACTTATTCATTTTCATCTTATTTTTCTTATTCATCTCATTTTTCACGTGTCTATTAATGAATTAATCTATTTGTCTATACTTTTTACTTCCCACCTTTGGGCGTGGCCTCCCTCCGTGCGATGCATCGCTCCATGACCATTTCGTCGGTTCTATTTGGTGGATGCCCTCCCTCCGAACAAAGTAGATAATTGATAAAAATAGCCATTGCCATGTTAGGTGGACCGCCCATGGTGCGAACTTGGTGGTACCACCCCTCGGGCACGTAGATAATATCCCCCTCATACAGTGTGATATTGTAGATGTCGACTTTAGAAATATTCGGGAATTTGATGAGGTCGACGGCTTCCGGTTCGACTGGAGAGATCCCTGGAATATGAAATGGTGTCTAAGTTGATATTCTTGTCAGTGTTAATTCTTGTCATTGCTAAAACTGAATTGCATTAATCGACACGGTGCATATTAATAAATAAATGCACAAAAAACGAATTCACAAACAAACATGTAAATAAATAAATATAAAGGGCAAGGCTATACTACCTAGTGTCAAATTTTAGAAAAAAAATGGAAACAGGCAATTCCCAAACATTTTTAAATGAGAGAAAAACACCTTACGAGTGGCTTAAATTCAAGATTATTTCCGCTATTTGACCACGTCAATTATTAATCATTCTAAATATTAGGGCATAAAACCATATATATTTTACGGGATGAAAAACATGTTAAAACGGATTGAACAAATTTTGATATTTCATTTAAATAATTTACTTAATTATTGAAAAAAATTAACATAAATTTTATTCTATGATGTATTTTCTAAACAAGGCTTCTGTTTGATTTTGTACCGTGGTAATAATGCTGTGTGTTAGGAATCAGGCGGTACGTGTCCGTCATGAGACCATGCATGTATATATCGGTAAGCCAGAAGAGAAAAGACTTTACAATATGTGTCACTGTGTCAATGGGTGATCCATCCCAGATAAAAGGACATTTTCTCAAATATTACCTCTGTGATAGTTAAAATCGTCCACGTATAGGTATTTCCCATGGGCCGGCGGTATCAGAATCCATTGTCGTTGACCCGTAATTTGCGCAAACAGCGTCTCTGTGGCGTCCACGTGGATGTAGGTACTGGACCATCCGGCGTTGAAGAATACTGCAAACTGCTTCATCTAAGCGTGAAATAAAATAGATCAATCTAAGAGGGTTTTAGATTTTAATGTTAAAAGATCTTAAATATAATCTGAATAGTGATTTCAAAAATCTCAAGTTTGCTAAAAAAAAAAAAAAACACACACACACACACACAAAGTTAACGTTGTTGCTCAAAGATTTGCAAGCATGTTTAATATCATTCGTTCAAATGTTTTGAATCACATTGGTGTCAATTGAACATGGTAAATGCTAACACTTTGCAAAAAATTGCACTTGAACCGTAGCAGTTAATGTTTTACAACTCATAAAGGAAGTAAAAGATTGAAAGTGGTTTTCATTTCTTTTCTTCTTAAGTATCACTTCTGGCATTTGTAGCCTTCACTTTCTATGGAAACCCGTATTTCTCTAGACTGCTATCATTTCTTATGTTCTTTCAGTTTACGCACCGCTGATTGCGGGATATTTTTTTCAAAACAACTCCCTGTGACATGAAGCTACTAAAAAGGGATAAACATATTTTCTCAAGGTGCTTTGTTATTTATATAGTGAGACATCTCGTTTTAGCTAAGGAATTTTCAAAATGTGATTAATTAATATAATTAATATGACGTCTTTTGCAAATTGTGAGCAACTATTGTACACAGATCCAGTGGTCTTGAAAAAAAAACTAATAATAATAATAAATTAATAAACTGTTTGAAGGATGACCACAATTGAAAAACTAGTCGGACGTATCGTTCTGTACCGCATATATGTCGATCTAATCAAAATGCTAATGATAAGGTTCGTAAGACAAAACGAGTATATTTAACCTAATTTTTATTTAAAAAAAGAAATAATACACAACAGACGATACCATTTTCATGATGGCGTCGCAACCAAGGAATCTTGGGATAGTCAGATCTTCTGTCATTTCTGGGGAAAGTGTGGCGTCCATGTAAATATGTTCATCGCGGTACCGACTGAATTGCAAAAAGAAAAACTAAATAGCATTATATATCCACCCAAAGTCTTCTTTTGGGTGATTAAGTCCTATACCCAATGTTAAGTTTTTATTCGGTGTCAATTACTAAAAGCATTCTTTCTTTTTGGAGATAAAGAGAGAATTATATGCTGACGGGTATAAAAAACAATGTGTTCGTGTGTGTGCGTGTACGTGTGAGTGTGTGTGCTTAATGCATTTAAAGTTCTACTATTTACCTCCGAACACACACATACACAAACACAAAGAAAAAGAGAGAGATTTTTTTAGAGACCAAACTCTCTTGAAAACCATACAACAGGGGCGTAACCAAGCATACGCACGGATGCACTGTGCGTACAATTTTTTGAGCCAACCATGATATTATTCTCCATAAATTCAGTGTATTTTTCACGGAATATAATCGAAAACACCTTTGATTGTAAGTTAAAGTCACCTGAATCCTCTATATAAATTGTATACGCACCATTGCTCTGACACTTCTGGTTTGCTTACACCGAACTGAAGTAAACAATACTCGTTACCTTCAGAAGTCCTATCTTAATCTTCCATTTAGCTGGAACATCCTTAACCTCTTAATTGGAGCGTTAAGTGCCCTTCAAATCTCAGGTAGTCTTTGTCTTCTGTGTATCGAACGCACCCTCGCTGGCAATGTTTATCTCAAGTAAAAATTTACCTGTGCGTTATTTTCAAAGTTCAGCTCCAGTAAACCTGGGGGCACTAGATAAAATCTGGACATCGGGCATAAGAAGGAGCCAGAGAAACAAAGGCAGATTTTGCCTGCAAAGCTTCAAAGAATTTTGACACGTACTTGATCCATCTTAGCCCTCCAAACTAACAGGGTGACATGGACAATTTACACAAACAAATAATTAAAATTAGATAGATCAGAGCTTTATCCTGTAATATAATTGGCTGATTTGGGAGCAATGTACCCGCATATTAGCTGGATGATACCAAGTTTAACTTTTAGAAAATTGACCATATAGATATCACGAAGTGAACAGCAAGAAGGCGTAATAATTCTAAAACTATCAACTGTTCTTCAGATTATTTTTTCTGAAAACTGAGGATAACTGCCGCAAACCATATAGAACACTATCGTTTTTCAGCATTCAACTCGACACAAGCAAGCAAGCATAATCTGCAAAAGCGCCCAAAGTTTGTTTGTTTGTAAGCCCTAGTTCAAGGGCGGGTCCAGAACTTTTTGAAGAGGGTCCAGTTTTCTTAGGGATTGACCCCTTGGTGTCAGGTTCGGGGCACGCTCCAGGGCCCCGAAAAAAAAAGTGTTTTGGAAGGCAAATGGCGCCATTTGGTACGGTATAGGACTATGATTCAGCTTTTTTGGTGTGTGTTTTTTTTTAATCAGATAGGGGTTAGGACCCCCCTGACACCCCCCTCCTAAATCCGCTACTGTAGTTAAATAAAAATACCGTTCTCGGCAAGGCTTTTCATAGTGAACCGTGCAGCCGTCATTTGGACGGCCGGTGGCATCACCAGACGACCTTTATTTTCAAAGACGGCTAGACGGCTTACGAATATTTTGAAAAATGACTGCTTGGCTTGTCGGGGCGGCCGTGGACGTCGTACGAAATTCTCAGAGTAACGGCACCTGACAAAGCTGATAGACAAGAAGGCAATTTATATATTTGTTCAAGAGACTTCGTTAGCTGAAGATCGGGAGGAGGAGATAGTAAACGTTTCGAGCTTGACGAGGAGGCAATTATAATAATAATAATTAAAAGCTAGATAAGTATCTCATCGCGAGATACAGATTCAGCACACCCAATCATGGTTAAGTAATTCGGTTCAGTAATTTGAGTCTGGTGATTGGGCAGGTGATTATGCACTGAGTATATGCTTCACTTGTGAATACAATACAATTGTGAATACAAAAAAGACTTACTCTAGAAAATCTGTCATGCTCATTGTCATATGTGACTTGTGGCTGTGATCGTTTGATTTTTTGAACATCACTGTGAACTCTCTGTTACCAAATTTCTCTCGTAAGTAATCTTCATTGTTCCATTTCTCCACGGCCGGCCAGTGTTTCAGCGACCCTCGCACCACGAGAGGGACTGACTGTCGCATGTGATCTCTGTAAAAATCTTCTGGACTTGGGAAATGGTCCATCACGATCAGCTCCTTTTCCTTGTCCACGTGAAGTCCAAACTTCTGCATGTGACCCTTCGGTGGCGCCTGGCTCACATCTCCGGCGTCCGGTGGCGCATGGGTCACATCGCTCCAGATGCTGTGGATACCAGGGAGAACATGAGTCAGATCGGGCCTGAAGTACCCCAAAATCAGGGCCAGAAGGACGGGGAGAGTCCCCAGACACAACTTAGCTCTAGTCTCCATATTGTTAACTGTTCCGCCTTTCTGATTTTTGAAAACTGAGACCAACACGTACACCCCTCCCAGCATAAAGGCACAATAATATATAGTTGTCACTGTTTTGTGGTGTTCCGCATCGGTGTCCTTGAAAAGCCTTCATTCGCCCATCAATCTCTAGGTTTTCCACCATTCAACGTGCATATAAACTGTGACCCGTGCAGCAGTAGCTCTCTCTTTCAGTTAATTTCAATGCGTACTTCAGGCCCCAGTGAATTTAAACTCACTGCTGGAAGAGATATCCTGACAGAAAAGAGGGTGTAGGGTTTGTAGGATTTATTAAAAAAACATTGCTTCTGCTTTCACCCCGTACAACACAAAAAAATAAAAAAGTGAAAGAATTATCTCTTCATGTTACTACCCCAAGGGACCTGACATTTTACTAAACAGTGATCAGAACATAATGAACACTAATGGTGTCTGCCTTTTTCTGCCTCCCCTAGAGCGCCGCGACATTTGACTGTCTTGCTTGATCAGGCCTACCCAACTACCATACTCGGCACCGAATGATCCCGCATTCACCGGTAGATCGGACCATACTACCCGTTTTCAAGGTGTGCGTAAAGACGCATTTCACAGTATCATATCCCCGAACAAGTTTTGAGATGAGATGCACTACTTTCCAATCCTGCTGAGAATCATCACTATTACATCATGTAGCCTACTAGGCAAGAGCAGTGTCTCGTCTGATACTTCGAAGCGCGTACTGATACACACCTTGCAAACGGGTAGTGTGGTCCGATCTACCGGTGAAATCAGGTGCCGAGTCTGGTAGTTGGGTAGGCCTGTTGATGACGAGTATGACAAATAGATCACGCGCATTATACCCTGTTAAGTCCGTTGAGACTTTTCCATCATTCGCAAAATTAAATAAGTAAATAAATAGGACGGGGAACAATTTATCTGTATGGGTGTTATTTTTCTTTGACAGGAATAAAGGTCAATAATAGAGACAGCAAGGCGGTATTATGCCAGCATGAAGAACAATCCAGACACAAAGTATCTCATGGTCCAATAATCGATAAAATCAAGGTGATTGACAGTGAACCTGAAAATTACAGGAAAGTCCTAGAAGCCATCCACATCAAGAAGACAGGTGCCAGTCTCAACAGAAATGAGGGTACCATCCTCCCTGACCTCTACCTCCCTTTTACTAAGACAATAGGTAGGGGGAGGGCAAGTATATCTCCTGAATAGAGGCTATTCACCTGGATAGCCTCATTCCCTGATGAAGATGTTCTGTCAGACATCGAAATATTGGAGATAAAAACTATCTCAATATTAGCTGCTGACCGAAGAAAAATTACTTCATCCCTAAAACATAACACAGCTGATGAAATTCTTCTCTGATTTGAAAGGGAAGCGTTCAGGCCATTAAAATGTAACGTATTTTGGAGTTTTAATATATCTTTATCCACCTGGCAGCTTCGCTGCTTACTGTTGACAGTTTCTGAAAAATGTTATATTCACATCAACTACGCTCCATGAAATATCACCGATTCTGTACTTATCTTACTGGACAATGAGCTATACCATTACGTATGATAGCCTCATTTCGAGAGGGGTTTTCACCCGATTGCGACAGTTGAGTAGTACTTGAAAGCGAAATGTCACCTCAGAAATGTCACCTCAGTGGTGTTTTAAAAAAACATTTTAATTTATTTCGAACAACAAAAGTACCAAAAGTGCATAAAACACTTTTAGAGGATAAACTCGCTTTTTATGTACAGACACAGATGTGTTGTTTTTCGCTTTTTTCGGCATATGTGCAACACCGATAACGCGATAAGTGAAAAACCTTTTTACCTTTTGGCTTGAAACTTACATATATAACTGTTGAATATTTATTATAGGTAGGTCAAGTTTGAAAATCAGCATTATCGGGCCATTTTTATAAAAGTTATGCTGATTTTTCACTCTTTTCAGCATATATGCAACATTGATAACACATTTTAAGGAAAACCAATCAGCCTTTTGTCTTGCAACTCACAGGAGTGATCAGTCTGACTAGTATACAGATCAAGTTTGAAATTAAGCTTGATCAGTTGAGTTTTGATGAAGTTATTAGCCTTTTTTGTATATAAATGGTTTTTCTTCAGATTTAATTCTTAGGCATATTAACAGTCTCATTATTGAACTAATAAGATACCTAATAGTATTATTTTGACATTTTCTGAATCTTAACAATATTGTTAGTTGATTACATAAAAATTATGGTAAACCTGTTATTGTGTATTGTGTAATAAAGTGTCAAAAATGAAAATAAGGTTATATTATTGAAGTTTGTCAGATTCAATCATTCACTATGTTCAGAATCTCAGAATGAAGAAAATTGGACATTTAAAATTGTTCTATTGATATTTTTCCTACATCAACAATTTTCCAAGTTGATTATTTAAAAATGACAGTAAATTGATTATTTTGTTTTATGTAAAAAAGGTGTTGAAAATAGAAAGAAAATCATTTCAGTACAGATATCCCTTGTTTACATTTTGGCATTTTGAAGGTGTGAGTCTGAACTTCCATGGCTTTGAAGACCTTTCCATGTCACATTTCCTAAATATCCATGATACTTTTATTCAATTATAAAAAATTGATGGTCATTATGCTGTACGTAATATTGCATCAAAATTGAAGACAACCATATTGATTATTGTGGGCACTGCCTCCATAGTGACCATTCATGGAAAATCATGTCACTTACTCTTCTCAAACTTACAGAAAAGTAGCATAGGACTAAAATGCTTCAGTTGGAAAACCTGTTTTATCAATTAACTATTCTGGAAATTAGATGGTTTTTTTGTGAGAATTGAAATTTTCACATATCGACATTTTCAAGGTGTGACTTTGAACTTCTTTTGGCTTGAAGACCTTTGTTAGTCATATTTTCTAATTATCCATGATACATTTACTTTATTATTAAAATTGATGGTCATTATGCTGTTAAGCATTAAGTTATATTGCATGAAAGTTGAAGAAAACCCTATTTTGGACACTGCTGCCAGGTTGACCATTAAGGGAAAACCATATTACTTATGATACTCAAACTTACTGAAATAAAATCATAGGACTAAAGTGCAACTTGTGATGGAAAATCATTGTGATTACTTTCAGTTTTGGAAGCAATGCAGTTCTATAGAGTGCTATATGGTGCCACAGTATATGGATGGCGGTCAGAATGTTATTGCTCCTTGGGTAATCACTAGCTAAATTCAGGGTTATTTAGTCTAATTAAGTCATATGCCTAATTAATTTTCAAGTGGCCATTAAATGAGATTACATAAAACACACGTCCCATATTATATCTTTAGCCCTCTTAACTGTGTCACATAATTAGGAATCGGTGATAATTATGCAGGTAAATGTTGTTTAATATTGCAAATAAGTTTGCAAAAGAAAAATTTTGTGTAATGCTAACATTAATGCTAAAGATGAATAACAGTGCCTTAATATTCTCAATTTCAATAGGGTTATTCATATCATGTTAATACTTATACAGCTAGATTAAAAGTTAGAATAGCAGCTTTATTGGACTTTTTTGTTATGTTTTATTTAAAATTTTTTAAAATTATTTTTCAAACACTAGCATCTTCAAGATGTCACTTTTAACTTCCATCCACCAGAAGCTCTGTGCATTTTCTGTATTTCCACATGAGCAGTTGTATTGGTTTTTATGTCTTTAAACATGATGTAATATTATTTTATGCATTGTCATCATTTTTTCACAAATGGATTTTCATTATGTGAATTTGAACTCTCACATATGGTCCTGAAACTGTAATCTTATTGACCATGTTATTCTGTTGTACATTTTTGTGAAATTTTTATCTTTCACATATTGGCATTTTCAGTGTGGGACTTAGAACTCCCATGGGCATGTAGCTCAGTGGAAATCAAATTTTCTAAGTATCCATGTTATTAATGGTAGATAATAAAAAATTGGTGGCTCTTATACAGTTAATAATTTAGTAATGTTGCATCATAATTGACCACACTGCCACCACAATCGTTATGGAAAGAAAACTTTGTTACTAGTATTTCTTATTTTTGTAACTTACAAGAATGATTCTTAGGATTAACATACAGCTCAAATTAGAAAACCAGCTCTATTGGACTATCATTTTTTTTAAAATCCAATTTATAATTTTTTGTGAGGTTTTATCATTCTGGCATTTTCAAAGTGTGGGCTTGAACTCTCAATAATGTATTGTTGCATCAGCATTGACAGTATCCATTTTGTACATTATTATTTTCTGCTTTTTTCTTGAATGTTTGTGAAAGTTTCATGTTTATCATTCTAGCACATAGTTTGTGGCATATGGATAAGATTGGTGTAATAGTCCCTTGGGTAATCATCTTGTCTAATAAGGTCTGAACTGGCCATTAAATGAGCTTTCATAAAACACACTTGTTGAGATTTCCCTTTTTTAATTATCTCCAAACTCAATCATGGTAAAACAGCTAGACTGAATGGCAGCTTTAGTGGAATATTTTTGTAATTTTTCCTTTTTTTAATTTTTCATTTTTCAAACTGGCATTTTCAAGATGTGACTTATCACTCCCATCCACCAGGAGCCCTGTACTGTTACTCTGTAACATTTTCTGTTTTTTTTTTAACTTACAAGAATGATTCTTATATTTATATATTTTTAATTGAGTTTAAGCAATTTTTTGTGAAGTTTTCAATTTCACAGCGAGGGGATTCTCGCTAAATTGCAGTCAATGTAAGTGGCTTAGCTGTCTGTCATGCCTACTAAAACTGGCATGCCAGAATCCTAAGCCACATAAGCTGAAAGCAATTTAGTGAGAAACCCCTTGGAGTTGGATTGATCCTGTTAGATTGATCTAGGTATGGGAACTCAGTCTATTGCTTGTTACACATTTTACTTTCATCCTAATCAACTGTTGCGCAGAATCAAAATTTGATGTTAGCTATGCAGTTAAGCATAATACATTACTGCTACAGAATTGACAGTATCCTATTTTCTGCATTTTGTCTGTACATTTGACAGCTTTGCTGCCTTGTTATCTTTTAAAGGTTTGAAAACATATCCAGTGGGAATTTTTTTCATTATACATTGACTTCCTTTGGCATAAGTGTATTTTTCATTTAGTCATGGATCTAGTTTTAATAAGTTTTAATAAGAAAT